TTGCTCCCACCCCCATCCCAGGATCCCCTCAGTCCCTCACCTGCACTGAGTTCCCCTATGCTGTCTCATGCCTCCCCCCCACCTTCCAAGCCTGCTGGCCCTGAGGACCACTTCACTACTCAGCACCACTCGTGAGCACATCCCAGGGAAACACCACACGCTGGCTCTCCCAGCCCTACCAGCTCACCTTTCACCTCAGTTCAGGCTGCGTGCTCACATACAGGGAGTACTCCCTGGAAGCCATGAGGCTGCTCAGTACAGTGCTGTCTTCACTTGTCCAGATGAGGCAGCACTTGCTGTCAGTGTAGCTGTCCAACCTGCCCCAGGTGGCTAGGGAAAGCCATTGGCTCTCTTCACCCAGTGGCACACCCCTGACCTGGCACTTCTTGGCTTGAAGCTGGCCCATACCCAGTTCTTGACCTCCCTTTAGGTTAGGTGGCCTGCCACTGTCTGAGGGGACCCATTACATCAGGGATCTCAGAAGCTCTCCTTGTGCTTTCCCTGTGAACTGGCTGTGGCCCTGGCAGCACTTCAAAAAAGGTCTCAGAGGTACCTCAGTGGGCAGGAAAGCTACTTGCCACCTGCTGAGTGTGACAGATGCTGCCCCCACATTGCTGCCTTAATGCCACAGCCAGAGCTAACCACCATGTCTGAAGCAACATTCGCCAGTTCTACCAATCTTCTGATACAGCATGGAATCTGGGACCAAGAAATGTGTTTTGATCATACTGGGGGAAAAAGAGCCACAGGGCAGTTTTCTATCTAAAGGAGTAAGTGAGTGAAGGGAAGAGCCCAAAGTCATGAAACTGAAGCCACAAACCCATAGTTCTCCAGAGTTTTTTGTACATTAAAATCTGTGATCAGCATGTTTGCAGGAATGGGCATGAAGAACATAGCAACTTATCTTGAGGAGGAATATATTGTAGAAGGATGTTAATGTCTTAAGACATATGATCTTTATTAGGCTGATTAGGACAAAAAAGTTTTTGAAAGTGCATGGTAAGAGAAGTCAGGCTATGGCCATTTAGCATTATAAACAGTTTTACGAATGACTTTACAAAGTAAAATGTTGAGCTAACCTCTTAAGCCTGACTAGAAATCCCAAAACAATTGTCTTGTCCTTTTATTTTGCCTTTGTGGCTGGTACAAAAAGCAACTTGAAGTCTTTTTGCTTTTTATTTAAACAAGATGGCTAGTTCTCTATTTCACCATGATTCTGAGCAAGCTGGGTTAATTGATATGGGCAATTTATGGTTGTCATACCTCCCCCCCTCCACAGAAACTCAATTACCAGCAGTATCCTTGATAAAATGTTTGTGAAGGATAATACATTTGAAGTCAAGTGTTATCTGCTAATTGACAGGATGGTTTCAATAATGTAACCTTATCTTAGGTAAATAAACTTCTAAGAAAGCCTTAAGCCACAAAGGGCAAATGAGATGTTTGAGATTCCTTTTTGCTGCAGGTCTTGTTTTGATAGTGTATTTCAATAGCAAAGGCTAAATGTGAAAGAGAATCTAAGAGACAAAAGAGAGACTCAGTTTCCTCTGCTTATATTTGTTCTTAACTCAGGATCTTGAGGGGGTATTTAATTACTGTTGAAAATGTGAAAAAAAAAAACCATTATCACTTGTTTGAAAGCAAATAATAACATTTTACGGGCTTTAGTATTTTTTTCTTTAGATTTTTGTTTAGGTTTCTAATTTAGTTTTTACTGTTTAATACAAAATGCACAAATCAGACAAAATTAGGGTTTTTAACATGCAACGCGGTGTTCAATTAAAACAGCAGATCAAAGGTAGCAATACTACACACTGACTGTAAGACTCCATAGTCACGAGTGAGAAAGATGTGGCGCAGTCCCAGTGGATGAAGAGGATGGAGGAAAGTTCGGGCCCAGTGTGCAGAGGCTGAGCAGTGAATGAGCCAACCCTGGAAACAGACTGCAAACTTGTCTAATATACATAGCTGATACTCATATTGGGCCCTGACTCTGTTTCTGATCACTATTCAAGGATAATAGAGTGCATTGACTCTATTAAGTGCATTGCTCTTCTGTACAGTGATTTGCTTTGTAACCATAATTGACCTCTAAGCAACTGTGGTAATAAGAACTTAAAATTCACTCTCAATTTAACTTTGTCTCCTGAAATTCCAGCTAAGTTTAGAGCCTATGTACTTTCACAGAGATACAGCTGGAAGACCCTCCCACCCATGCAGAACTGTTACCTCATCTTACTTGTACATGAAGTATTACTCAATACCAGTCTGTCTTCAAGGGAAGAGAGATTTTTAGTCCTACACACAAGACTGATTCTCATTACAAAAGATAAATAATATTAGGATGGGATTTCAAACAATAATGACAAATGGTTTTGCTATGTTATGAACACTGTAAAAACACATGTACAGCTCAAAAGAGTTTGAGTCAAAAGGTGGTTGACGAGGGAGGAGAGAGTTAAAAAACTGCACTGATTGTTAAGTGTTTGGCTTTGAAGAAATTCAGTTTCTAAGATCCGTGTCTTAGCCTTTACCAGCCAGGCCAAATCTGATCCCTCTGGGTGGTCATAGCAACCAAAGCCTGGAGCTCTCTCTGGCTGAGCATTCACTTCTAGCTTCCAAAATACTTCTTTTACTATCTGAAGCTGTGATCTGATGGATCCATTCCAAACAGGATTACTAAATAAGTGAGGTTAAACAATTATAATAGATCTTCTCTGAAAAGGTCTTACAGCTAGCTTATAAAGATGGCATCTTCTCACTCTTACTGCAGAAATGCATGTTTATAGCCTTTCAAGGTCATATTTCAGTTATTTCCTGACTGGCGACTGTACAGTTTGTGATGAGCATAAACTATTTGACCCACAGCCTATCAGGATCAACAAAATGTCAGTCATGTGCAGAAACAGACAAAAATAAATGACGCTGTGCTGAGATGATACACCACCTTAAGGGATCAGTATCTTTAAATGCACACCATGCTGCATTCTGAGTGGCTCTCTTTCAAAAACTGGACATGAACTCCCCTTTTAGCTGGGCCAGATATACTTGGGAAGCTACCAAGTCCCTAGAGCTTTAGTGAACCTTGTTATGTGTCCGACTCAGCCCTTATAAATCCATTTGGGATTCCATCCTGATTACTGCATGCAAATGCTCTTACACCAGTCTGTCTAGGACAAAGACCGGAGAGACCACACAAATGCAATGATCCATCCTTTCCACCTCATTGTTGTTTGTGGTGAAGGGAAGACAGCCAAATAAGGCGTCACTTCTCACAGAATGACAGCCTCAGCTTAGTAATGGCTTTCTCTTAAGACTCTCAGATTGATGACTGACTCCAGATGAGACTCACAGGACTCATCCCAAGTCTTTTGCAGTAGAAGTCCACAAAAGTCCTGGATTTTAGGTCCTAGTAATAAAAAAATAAATTAACAACAACAACAAAACCAAAAACAATAAAAAAGATCAGCTAAATAAATCAAGGGCTGTTCAGCATTCTAGAGAGGGTATTTAAAAGTCTTTCTAAGAGATCAAATACAATTAGGGGTTTTTTTTAAATGAAGGAACAATTTTGGGAGATAGAAGGGAAATCCGAGTGAGGCTAAGCAGAACCTCAGGTAAAAATGGTATCTAATGAAAGATGGTCCCCACAGGAAAAAAAATATGGTAAAAAAGCGTAACAGAGAATTGTAATAGCAGGATTGGCTCTAGAATGAAGTTTTGGATGTAGCAAGAGTACACTTAAGAAGATTGAAGGGAACTTTGTGTGCTAGGAACTATGTAGTTAGCTTAGGTGATATTAGATATAAAGTAGCAGAAGTTGAAAAAGAGAAGGAAACACAAGAGCATATATTTCAGTGTATGCAGCTTCTTGTGGTAATCCAAAACACAACTGCTCCAGAGGGAAAGAATACTGAAAACTGAATAGTGGGAAAACTATGAGGTAATACTTTGTAGTGTGACATGGGAGATGTCAGCCATTTTGGAATCACAGAGAAAACTGTTGTTATGCCAATTTACTAAGACTATTCCATCTTTTATTTATGAACTGAAAGGCAACAATACTACTTGATAGTAGATAGAAATATGAGTATCTTTGAAATATGCAGTTGTTTTCTGAATCCTCATTAGTAAACAGAATTTAAAAAAAAAAAAAAAAAAAAAAAAGCCAAGATTATCAAATGCCTTGTCAAAATATTTATGTTTCCATAATTTGTTTTGCCTCTAACTCACACTAAGAGGAATTACTTTAATAAAAACAAAAGGTATGATAGAGAAACAGAAAATATTCTACAGGACTTTATCACAGATTTCAATACAGGATATTTTAACTGCATCATGTAAGAAAAAGAAGCATCTCTCAACAACAATAACCTAAGCACCAAGTCCTCTGAAATGAGTTTGTTCCCTATATTTATGGTTACTGATAAACTTCAGATAAAACCTTAAAAGCTCAATGCAAGAAGGACATTTTATTGTTATTGTTGACTGACTGGAAATGAAATAATTCCAAGAAGTACAGGATATTTTGCTGCCATTAATCTCATTCTTGATCTACATTTATTGCTTAGGCTAAAATATTATTTAATAATGTACACAATCATATTCTTGACTTTTCCTTTTCCTTACTCTTTTACTTATGAATGACAAACTGCTGAATAACAGAATTCTGACATAATGTATAAAGAAAATATCTCATATATATATTTTGATGCATTTGATGAAGCAAACATTAAGCTTACAGAATTCTAGCAACTGCAAGTCAGACAACAGTACCATGGGTATCATTCTTAAAAGCTGCAGTTTTATTTTACTAAATTGTCTATGTTAAAAACAAATCTGTGCCTGGTGTGGAATTTCACTGCATCAAGTGTTACAATATTTTTGTTTTCATTAAAAGCAGAAGATTGCATGTACAACAAGTGTTAAGAAACATGACAATAAATTAGAATATAATTTACAAAAAGCAAAAAATAATAATAATAAAGTAACAGTGTACCACATTAATACTGAGTATAAAATAATAAGCAACTAATCACAATAATACAAAGTAATTTCAGTCTGTATTATTAAGGATATCTATGTAACATTCACTCCATTACAAAGTTCCTAACAAAATGGCCTATTTTGGGGTGTACACACCTTAAGGGGTCAATCTGTAGATTTTTCTTTGTTTTGATCTTCTTCATCTGATAGAATTGCTCAGTGAAAGTACTGGCAGCAGACTGATTTCTGTATTTAATGTTCTACTATTTGATTCTAGGCCTGTCATATTTATAGCCTGTACAAATAGTCCTATTGTCACTATTTAGGAATATAACACTATTTAGCTTAGATTACATAGTTGGCTACAGCGTAGCAGCAGCAATGAACTGTGCTGTGGAAACCAATTATTTTTTTTTTTTAATTTGTCTGAAGTGTTGCTTAGTTTGTAAATCCACATACATTCTGTTTTGTTCCCTTTAACAATACAATGCAATGTTGCTCCAGGGAGTTCTTTAAATTCCAGCCTCAGAGCTGTTACACTGAGTAAACATGGGACTCCCTAGTGTTCTAGCACCAGTAAGAGAGCAAAATGTGTCTTTGGAAACACTCCTTACCATATTCATGTCTTAGGTGAGGTAAAAAATATATATATAAAAAGCCCTTTTCTTGTTAACTGAAAAGACACATTATCTGATAAACACAATCATGCCCTGGAGAAAACCGGACCCTGATACAGAGAGGCCTCTTGCTTAGAGAATGCCATAGCAATGCCTTTCCCTTTTATTGTATTTTGACTTAACCAGGGCATGCTAGCACCAAGGTGTTTTGTCAAAAGAATGTAGAAAATTGATTCATTTAACTGAGAAGGACTACAAACTGCCCCTGATCCGTATGTGCAACTCCCAAGGCTGTTTACTGGTGTCAGTTTTAACAGGAGTTGTTTACATAGTGATGAGAGCAGCAGATAAGCATACATGAATAAAGGCAAGCCAACTGAAAATGAGTTCCACTGGTCACAGGCATAACAAAATGAAAATACTGGCAAGAGGTAGCAGATGACAAAATTTTTGTGGTAATGAATATGTGGATTACACAAAACCCCACTGAGAGATTGTCAGTATATTAGGGGGATTTCATGGTATGAGTTCTCTTAATAGTATCTACTTCTTCATGTTAATTCACATTAGTAAATACTGTGCAACACTTTTGGCTTGTTATTGGTAAAATACACTGATACACTTCAATCTCGTCATATTCTGAAATTATTTTTCACTGAAAAGTGTACTTGTTTTTAAAAAGTGCTATTTGAGTTAGAATTTGTAACACGTTATTGTTCATTTTATTTTAATTGCACTACAACAAAGGAGACATAGTTGGACACAAAAAGCACATTCATCAAGTACCTGCTGCAAACTGCAAGTGTTCAAGTACAACATATTAATATAAACTAGTACCCACTTTTTTATCTCCTTGTTGAGTCTGTAACTGAGAAGTGAAGGGAAGAAGAGTATGATTGACATTTTGCTTTTCTAATGGTAGATTCTTGAATATGAACTGCCTAAGTAGTTTGGTTTCACATTTAAAAATGTAAGGTAAATGGTGAGTATTAAAATTATGTTTATACGAAGTGGATTATGGCAGCAGAATAGTTGAAATAGTTAAAATCATATGGAATCTAGCTACTAATCCAGAGACAGGACTTTCTTCCAGTCTCATACTGAAAGCTGCCTCAAGCTTTAAATATGATCCAGCTTGAAATGTGTACTTGGCCATTCAGGTCAAGGTGGCCAGACTTATTTCTAGCCACCCCTTTTCCAGTGTGCCTTACCCCTAATAGCCTGGCATGTACCCCAGCTCAAGCACATTCCTGACTTCTCATTTTAACAGAATCTATATATCCCCACAAGTCTTTGGTTGTAACCTTGTCTACTATGATATGGTCTCCTGAACAGCAGACTCACATATTCTTCCTCATAAACAAATACCCTTCCATTACAGTATCAAAGAAGGGAACATCTGGAATCCATTTAACTTTCAGTTTTGCAAAGGATCGTTGTTATTACACAGTAGGCTTATCTTTCACACTGATACTTCTTGGTCTTGGAGAATCAAAAATAACATATAAAACAGATCTGGATGCCCACTAAATTGTTTCCTCTTTGTGGATAGTGATGTAAACAAAAGTGCACTGGAGTCAAAGTCTTACATTCTAAACAAGCTGTACAGTAGTAGTGAAAGAGTTGGCAATACAGTCTTCACTACTATTGGAGTCTGCCTCCCCCATGGAATTGAAATATGTTCCCTTTTAGTGGACACCTTGGTTTTGCTCGTACAAACGTTATAAAACTGCAACACAGATTTCATTTCATTTCATAGCATACTTGTACTTTATGCACCACTGCAATAACTGTTGCACCTTTTAAAATAAAATCCCTCATGGTTGTTCTACTGAGTATAGCTTTATATGTGGTTCACAGCAGTGTTCAGGAAATATGGATTACTCCAAAGGGAATTAGATGGAATGAGGGAAAAAATATGTGTTTTTTTTTTAAAATTTCTGCTCCTTAAATAACATTTCCAAACTCATTCTATAATTTAAATTGTGGTGCTGTGTCACGAGATAAAATAGTTTTCATTTTTAAGCTATGACTTAACATTTTTTTGATTCTTCTTTACTTCCATAGTAGACCAAGTCATAACAGCTACATTTTAAACAGTTTTAAATACAAATGGATTCAGTGTCATCGCTAAGTCCATAATAAAAATTATTTTAATGGTCCAAGGAGGTAAACAGACTATTGGATTGAGTCAAAAGAACACAAATGTTCCACAGTAAGCTATTCTATATGTGTTATGCGGATCTTTCCAATTTGGCATGCCCTCCTTATACTGTGTCCAGCACTTTGGATGAATAAATCCCACTTCACAGAAGTTAAAATAATATTGAAATCCTGTCAGCTGGGGCTGACCAGTGGTTACGTTTTCCACAGGGTAATGCATTTCCAAGGACGTCAATCTTACTCCGCTGTGTGGCTCTCTTCAATAGACACTCTTCCACAATGATAATAACAAGGCACATTCTCATGCTTTCTGTGGGTCAGTGTCCTTGGCAGGTCTTGCAGCACATCTGTCTGAAGTATGCACGACTGCAGAACTTGAACTTCAGCACCAGTGGGCAATATGCCACTTTGTTCACATCTTTGCACTCTAATAATTAAAGGCATTAAAGATTAAAAAAAAAATTAGAAATAAAGAAAATTTGATCTTTAACACATTCCTGCTCTATCCATCCACCCTGCTATACTTTTCCTTATCCACTGCAGTACACAAACCACGTATTTTACAAAGCCATAAAAACATTTGCAGGGCTTCTCTCCCAGGCATTTAGAAGTGTGCCCACTTCGTCTTGAAAGAATTACCATTTATTGGGATAAATGACCATCCTAGGCAGGTAGGAAATATGAGTCATTCTTCTCACAATACTTTTACAGCTTCTTTCTCAGGAGTTACTTTATTCATCCATCAGAGGTTATCCAAACTCTAACATGACTTGCAATATTTGGTACCATGCCTGTGAATTTGTAAGAAGCCTTGAAATATTATACGCATAGCCGTGAGCAGGGATGGGGAAAGCAAAGAGTGTTATAAATAATGGCACAAACAGCATGAGTTCAGTGACTTGACTGAATTTTGGATTATACTCTAGGCTTGGTTCCACACATCCACACTTTCTTTTACACAAAAGTCATTTTAAGGCCTATAATAGATGAGTAAGAGTTTTTTTTAATACTTGCATTTTTCCTGTAAACTGGGATTACTGCCTCTGCAGCTACAGTGGCAGGTAACTTTCCCAGGAAGAGAAGAAGAATTCTGTTTACCACATGGAAGAAGGATTCCTGCATTTCCATCTATACAAGTGGTATATAAAGTGACTTGTCACATTACATTACATGAGCAGTGCTAGAATATACCATGCTTCTCCTTTGGCCCGATTTCCTTTCTGTAGAAAGAAGGTGGTAATAGGGAATAGAATGTTTTGGTCTATGTCCAGTTCTTACTCTGATATAGCTGGAGATAGGGCTTAATCTGAGAGTTCCTTGGTACACTCAGGTTATACAGCTGTTGTTGCTACTGCAATCTACTGCAAATTTGCACTACAATGAAGTAAATGTTGTGGTAGAAGTCTGAGACAGGATTTGTATCCCCAGTTAAAAGCATTTGCATATTGTCTTCCAGACTGACTTCAGCAAGGAGCTTTGCTTCACAGGCAAGAAGATGGAAGAGATGTATGAGAAAAAGCAAAACCCACAAATTAAAATTGCAAAAATGATGTGGGAAGAATGAAATTAGATGAATTTATCAGAAAATAATTTATCTCAAAAAATGCTGTAATGTTGCATTTGATACTGGTTACCCCTTGCAACATTTCTCGAATTACAACAGCTATGAATACATAGAATCATAGAATTGCTCAGGTTGGAAAAGACCTTAAAGATGAATAAAAAGGAGAGAGCCTAGCAGTATTTTAACCATTTTCATATTTTGTACTGATTTGGTATCTAGAAGTGAAGACTGGGGGGCCAGGATTCTGTTCTTACAAGGCCTAGCAGAACAAAAGCCCTTGATTCCCAGGTGCCTGCAAGCCAAGTATGAAAAAGACAACATCCAGCCACACCAAACACGTAGGAAGACCAAAAAGTAATAGTGAAAGAAACCCAATCAGAATGTACAATCCTTCAGTTATTCCTATATTTTTTCCTTCTATGTACATATTTCACATCCTAAAAAGACAGTGTTAAGATGAGAATTTTTAGTATTTGAACCTAGGAAAACCTAAATGAGTCTGAACTTAAGGGAACATACTGAATGGTATTTCTTATCATGGCAATATCCATGCTTTTAGCTAGGCAAGTAGAGGCATGAAATGATTTAAATTTTCATTTTACTAACACAGATATAGTATTTTCACTTAACTGTTTTGCTATTCGATATTTTAGTAATTTTAATTCTCAATTTGAGAGTTGGATGTCGGGAGAAAAAAAAATTGCAGGTAGCTGGTTGAGGTACAGATATACTTCTCTATCAGCGACTGCAGCCACTCACTGTTTTATTTTGAAACTTCTTCCCAAAAGAGGACAAATATATTTCAGAAATATTTGAGTCCCCATGTTTATGAAGACTGAGAACATGAGAGAGACAGATCGTAAATTATAAACAAAGCAAGGAATAAAAAGATTTGCTTGATCTTGATGACATATAAAAGTTCATAAAATCTTAACACCAATCTCATACACATTGCTTTTAGTTAAACACAGGTAAAGCTGCTAATTGCATTTTTGCTAAAAGTAGGATTTGGAATTATCCTGCTTCATATTTCTTTAAATTTTTCTTCTTCTTGACTAATCTGAACACTGTTGAGCCACTGTCATTTGGACAAAAGTAAGGCAATACCCTGGGAGGTGCCCACAGCTTGTGTTTTAAAAATCAGTTTTGAAATAGATACAGTGGGTGACAAAGTAACCTATTTTTCACTGTTGCTCAATGAAGGAGGATCAGCAAAATCTTCTTTGTTACTAGTAACTACTGTTAGTAAATTGCAGTAAACTACATACATTAATGTTTTCTTTCCCAAATGCTGTGGTCAGATCAGACAATATTGTAATACCACGTGTCCCATTAAAGTAATAAAAGCACAGCATGTCACTGTGCCTTCTAAACTAGAGAGATCATAAAGGCATACTACAGAAAATACAAGGGAACTGAAATAACATAAAATTAGATTATACTGTTTATTAGGTAAAGCTTCAGGTGACCTTCAGCAGTCTAGATTCAGCAGACTTAAAAAATAAAATCATTCTGAATAGACTTCAAATCGTGTTACATGCTGCCTGTAGAGCATGTAATGCTACAACGTTTGCTTCAAAATGTTGTCTACAATATTTTAAATCTCCAACGAAGACTTTAGTGAAAAAAAAGTTAAAGGAGATGTTTATTGTCACAAGATAGATCCTCATTTTATTTTACTAACACCATATCCCTACAATTTTTACTATTATTTACGGGAATGACCTATACTTTCCCCAAGAAAGTGCTCCCAAGCTGGACCAAAATTAACAATATTCAGTGAGGCAATTTAAGCTTCCTGAAAAATATGTACGTTCTTATCTTGAGTTAGCGCAACCATGAAACCACAAGATTTTAGACAGGAAAGTAATCCCCTCAGCTGCAAACTACTGATCAAGTGTTCTTTTTAACAGTGGTACCCAAAGCAGAAGGCAGTGCTAGTGGACAGCATTTGAACACAGGCTGTATGTGCAAACAGATATGCTCTGCTACATAGATGCAACCCCAAGGGGCAGAAGTTTCTTTCCCTGAAGCTCAAAACACAGGTACAAAGTAGACAACCCATTGTACCTGAAGAGAAGCAGAAGCGTACATAAAGGCATAGAATGTCCTTCTCACTGAATCACAGAATGGCCTGGGTTCAAAAGGGCCTCAAAGCACATCAAGTTTCAACTCCTTGCTGTGGGCAGGGTCACCAACCACCAGAGCAGGCTGTCCAGAGACACATCCAGCCTGGCCTTGACTGCCTCCAGGGATGGGGCATCCACAGCCTCCTTGGTCAACCTGTTCCAGTGTGTCACCACCCTCTGTGTGAAAAACTTCCTCCTGATATCTAACCTAAATCTCTTCTGTCTTAGTTTAAAACCATTCCTCCTTGCTATTGCTATCCAACCATGTAAACAATGATTCCCCCTCCCGTTTATATGCTCCCTTCAAATACTGGAAGGCCACAGTGAGGTCTTCCCCAGAGCCTTCACTTCTCCAAGCTAAACAAGCCCGGTTTCCTCAACCTTTCTCCATAGTAGAGGTGCTCCAGCCCTCTGACCATCTTAGTGGCCCTCCTCTGGACCTGTTCCAAGAGCTCTGCATCTTTCGTGTGCTGGGTGCCCCAGGCCTGGACGCAGTGCTGCAGATGAGGCCTCACAAGAGCCAAGTAGAGGGGGACAATCACCTCCCTCTGTCTGCTGGCCACCCCTTTTTTAATGCAGCCCAGAACACAGTTGGCCTTCTGGGCTGCAAGCACACACTGCTGGCTCATGTCCAGCTTCTTGTCCACCACGACCCCCAGGTATTTCTGCTCACGGCATTTCCATAAATATCACTGGCAAGGAAATATCAGAACTCAAATACTTCTTCCTTAAATCATGATCAGTTCATCATATTAAAGGGAAGAAAAAAAAATAACAACAACAAAAAAAAAAACAAAAAAAAAACAACCAATAACAAACACTGCTGAAACTGGTGGAAAATGAAATATGAAGATACACTACGTACATTAAAATTCTCCATCTTTCTAGAAGACCAGCTTTTATTTTGAAAAGATCTGAGATCCATTGTTGTCTTTTGGATTAGTCAATTCTTGAAATCTTAAAAGCCTTCTATCATTTCTAGTATGCATAAAAAAAAGTGCTTCAGTGCCTAACAGGTGAGACCTTACTAAAAGAAGAGATGTCAGCTTCTCTTTTGTCTAAGGATTTTTAAGACCAAATGTATAAGCAAAAAATGTGCAATACCTGCATACTGCTTTGCAAATACAGTAGCTCAAAAATGTTAATAAATTAGGATATATACTTAAAATGCTTGCAAAAATATTTTTAAAATAACTTGAAAACACTTTGTCGTATTTTGGAATAAGGCACTCTTGGTAGTTCATGGATTGCAGCTGGGTTCTTTTGAATTTTTAAGTTCTTAAGTGAATTTTGAGACTGCATTTACTTGAGTCACTTGAGTCACTTAACCACTTACAGATAATCAGTAGCTTCCAGTAAATACCATGAACATGAAACAAAATCAAGACACGAAGTGGCAGTGTGACTGTTAAGAACATATGTATTTGACAACGTTGTGTTGTATCTTCTTAATTCCTCCTAGATTTTATTACCTCAAGTAAAGTACTGTGCTAACAAGGCTATATGGCTGTTAGTATGGAACTGGCCAACTTAAACTGCAGGCCAAAGAGCAGAAGTCCATCTGGAACACCACAAATCCCAGATCTTTTCCAGTGAAGGAGCAGGTCCCTGAAAAACACTACTGCCCACAACCTTGTTTTGTATAGTTACCCTGCAAAGCTTCACTTTAAAGTCTATGAACACCCAGAGTCCTCACATAGACACAGAAACTGTCTGATGGCATCCATCTTAGGAGATCAGTGTATTTTCCCAACAAATAAAAAAAATTACTAATGTAATGACAATAAATTATATGCACCCTTCATCTTGAACTTAAGAGGAGATCAAGCCTTAATCATGCCCTCATGAAAGTACTTTCCTTCCTTTGGAAAAGAGATGCTATCTATGGCTAGAAATAAAATAATAGCCTTTGAGTTTTGTAGGACAGAAAGTTTCCTAGACTGATACTAATTGTCTGAAGATTACTTAAGAGCACATCATAAAAATGGAAATTAAAGTAATCAAGAACAAATCCATTATGAAGACGTATTTCAAATGATAACAGGGGATGATAAGCCTCAGAATTATAAATTAACATCCTCATAGACAATCATCAGTGCATTTCTGGTAAGATTTTTGTATGCTTTGTTTCATCTAAATATCTCAATTTGACTGACTGTTTTATGGATCAAGGAAATTCAAAATTAAAATTAGAATAAACTGAAAAGTCAAAGTATTCATACAGAATTGTAGCACCATGTAGCATTAAATCTATAGTCCCAGTTTGTCAATGACTGTGCAATTACTACTTTTCATTATGCTAATCACTGATAGAGTAGGTACAAACTCAGTGGACTATGAAGTATGTCACCCTCCACTGTTTTTTATGCATATTTCCATTGAAATAATAAGGAGACTGGAAAATAAATGGTACAAAAGTACAGTATTTTGTCTGTGGCTATATATGTAACTTGCTTATTTTTAAACTATGCTTAGCTTCTCATTGACTTCACCTTGGAACAACAATAACTAACCAGAAAATAATTGCAAAAAAATTAAGTCATAGACTGGGCAATGATACAAGTAGATTTTTATTAATAAAAAAATACAGTAGCATTGATCAACTTACTTCATTCTTCCCAGATTAAACTATACTCCAATAGTAAACTTACCTTCTGTGTTGGAAATGGGAGTACTGTCACATTTACTTTCACACTGTTGCATTGATGGAGGTCTGTGTGTTTCTGAACACTCACTGGATGCTTGTCCGGTGTACGAGAGGCACTGTACTGTTCGCATCTGTTGCCCAAGACCACACTGTGCAGAACACTGAAGATAAAACATACACGAAAGTGAAACGATGTGGATCCATTTTTTAAAATATAAAACAAGATAAATGAAAGTAATCAGGAACAGTACACATTCACAAAGTTTTAAAAAGGCATCTGGAGAGATTTGGTCGATACAGAAAACAAAATAAAATATTTATGATTTTTCTATTTAACAAAATAAGCACGCTATGTCTCTCAAAGAAAATAAAACAATCCAATCAGCTTACAAAACAGGTCAGAGTTGAGGTAGGAACACACAGTTTACGTTATTTCACATATCACATTAGAGCTTAACTGCACATTTTCAAGAGAGAAAGCGTTTACTTTAGAACAAAGAGAAATAAAATAAAGGACAACAAGAATTCAAATCTGCTAAAGGACATTTTTAAGTACAAAGGCAAGTATCTTTCAAATAGAAATACTTTGTGGTTTCAATACTTTTTAAATTTCGATAATTAAATGGTCTTTTTCCAAGACTTACATAAATTTATGAAAAATAAGTGTCTGGACAAGCAGCATGAAAGAACATATGGACTGCAAATTAATTTGACTGTAATAAGACAAATGACTGTCCCCTGGTTAGTTAGGCTAAATTATTTTCATTACTGGCTCTTATTCATTTATTTTCTCTACAGAGAAGAAACTTAAAAAGTACGAATTTATTATTTAATAGGTCACTGATCACAAGTAAGATGCAAAAAGAAAGAAATTCAGTATATCTTGTTTAGAAACACCACATAACTGACAGCAAAATTCAGTCTGACCTGTAACAACTTATACCTTCAATAATTAAGTATATTTTACGTAAGATCATAAAGCTTTTTTTCTTTTGCCTGCTATATATCCTTCTGCACACACTATATGAATATTGGAAATGGCTTTGTATTTCCATCAAATTTCTCAAACTAAATTCTACGTGTTTTAAAAATACAGAAAGTTGAAATATTGCTGTATCATAAACTCCATGTTCATAAAACATGGAACCGTAGTAAGAACTGGTTTATTTATAAAAAACACATACAGAAACTCATCCAGTAGAAATCAAATTACTACCAATAATCCTTTATAGTTCAGCAAACTATTACCTAGCATCATATTTCAATGTGAGACAAACAGGAAAAGTTTTTAATTCAGTCATGGAAACTACTTCTTATTCATTTTCAGAAACATCTTTATCCTTAGAAGGTGATAGACTGATGGATAACATGTAGGAGATTAATGGTGATAAATATCTGTATGGAGTATCTTACCTGTCCCCAGTCTCCAGTAACCCAGCGAGGAGGAGGACAACGACCTAAACTACAGCGGATGCGGACTGGAGGTTTGCTCTCCTCTTGGCACTGAGCAGCTGGAAAAGTTTTTAAAAGATCGCTGCTTTTGCACAGAACAATTCGATGTTTAAATCCGGGGCCACATTTTGGTGTGCACTGAAAAAATATTGGTATAAACATAAAGTGAATATTCCAGTAAAATGTCAGTATATGTGTCTGAAATGTTATTAAGGAAAAATAGTAGAATATATTTACGTTCATACAACTGAACTGCTATTTTCTCAGCATAGTAGTTTTAAAATGCTTAGAAACAAACAAGCTGGCTGATGACTGCTGTATAAAGTTAAAGGTTTTATGTGTTATAACTTGATAAAAGTAGATTTTCTTTTTTATTTATGCAACTATATGATTATTTGATTCATATATGAAAATGTTTAGGTTAGTTTTAAGAGAAGCTCTGCTGCAAAGTAAGAAGGTTTGCCACATGTAATGTTATGAGACAAACTTGAGTAAAACTCCCTGTTCCACTTCTATTTTTTTACACAAATTTTATGTACCCTAAATCTCTACTAGAAGCCTAACAGAAGGCAGAGAAGGAAGACCTATTACCTCTGGCTGAAATGTAGAAAGAATATTTATACTAAGTAGAGAATAAAAGTGAATGATAATGAATATGTCAGATCTACAGCGTCATAATCATGATTCGATTGTTCTAGTCCAAATTCCATGGAATACTGCATTTATTTTTTCCCAGAAATATTCATGAAATATAAAAACATTAAAGCAAGGACTAGAAGAAAACATCCTTTCCTAGCTGAGGAGGACTTCAACCTTAACTACAGCAGTGTGCTTAAAAATCACTTGTATTCAATTTCCTCTTCGTGGTTACTATGAATTACATGAAACATCAATAGGAGAGAGAAGGCTGACACAACCTGCATTTCAAGAGCAGTCTACAGACTGGTGATCAGCCTATTTTGTGAAAACAACAGGAGACAGACAGACTTGAAACTTAAGAGTTGCACAAAGCTGTGCTCTGAGTGTCACATTCTAAAACTTGAAATACTATAAAAATGCAAACTACCATCTAGCACAGCTGACTCTTACAAATGCCTTCCAAATTGAAGCCTCTGAAGAAGATATGTAGAAAAGTGTCTACCATGTGAATCACTGTGTGGCTTTGGGAAGAGGTGGGCATGCAGTTTCTCCTGTGTGTCAAGACAGGCAAAAAAGCAGAACATCTGATAATCAGTAAAATGAATGTCAAAATCCAAAGTGTCTATAGAGTTTCATAATCTCAAGAAAATGGTAGCAAACAAACAAAACTTTGAAGATCAGCGCTTGAATTTAGGTGCACCAATTTTCTTGTCTCATTTGAAGTGCCCCTAAAAATTCTAATAAGTGAGACAGACTACACCTTATACCCAAAAATGAAAGTGAAGTATGAAAACAGGTTGCCCACAATAATACTGAATCACGAAAAATAAAACAAAAATCAGTAAAATTAAGCACAGCTACATGTCTCCAAAGCAAGTGGAAGACAAAGTACCCATACAAAAACCAGAAAATACTGTACCCCACCACAGCAGGGTTGCAGAATTTCTGACTTGTGGAAGCCATGACTAACTGTAACATGGATGCAAAGAAAATGTTCTTGTCTCTGATACAGCTCTCACAATAAATCCTTCTGTTCTGCAGCTTTATTAACTGGAAAAATAAAAATCCAAAATAAAAACCGGAAGTAATTTACAGAGTGCAGATGAACTCAGTCAAAGCTCAACTACTGCAAAGTGTGACTTTAATAGCAAAACTGACTTTTACTCAAGAATCACAGAATATCCTCAGTTGGAAGGAACCCAAAAGATCATCATCCTCAACTCCTGTGTCCACCAAGGACCACCCAAAATTCAAACCCTGTGCCTGATAGCACTGTTCAAACATTTCTTGAACTCCAGCAGCCTGGGGCTGTGCCCAATGCCCTGTGCAGCTTGATTCAGTGCGTGACCACCCTCTGGTGCAGACCCTGTCCCTAACCCCCACCTCCCCTGGCACAGCTCCATGCCGTTCCTTCAGGCCCTGTCACACAGAGCAGAGCTCAGCGCTGCCCTCCGCTCCTGTGAGGAGCTGCATCCGCCATCAGGCCTCCCCTCAGCTCCTCTGCTCTGTGCTCAGCACACCCAGGGACCTCAGCCACTGCTTGGACATCTTTCCCTCTAGAATAGTCACAATCTTCATAGCAGTACATGGGCACTCTCTAGTACCTTTATGCCCCATGCCCAACTCACACTGGAGGTGGGGCCGCACAGCACAGATCAGAGGGGCCCCTCTCGCTGGCCCCTGGCACTACTGGGCCTGGTGCACCTCAGGGCACGGTTGGCCCTATGGAGGGCAGGCACGTGTTAACTTGCCATCAACCACAGCCCCAGATCACACTCCGTGGGGCTGCCCTCCAGCCTCTCATCCCCTCTGAACATAAAACCAGGGTTGCTCTTCCCCCAGCACAGAATCCAGCACTTGCTCTTCTTGAGCTCAGTGTGATTACTGATTGCCCTGCCTTCTAATTGGTCAAGATCTCTCTATAAGTTCTCTCCACTGAGGGAATCAACAGATTCCCCTAACTTAGTGTCATCTGCAAACTTAGTATGCATTTGAACTCTGTTCTAGATCATTTATGGAAACATTAAAGAGAACTGGCCCTAAAATTGAGCCCTGCAGAACTGCACTAGTGTCCAGCTGTCAGCCTGATACATAACTTCATTTACTAGAACCATCTGAGCCTGACCTGTCAGCCAGTTGTTAACTCCTGCTTTTGCCCAACTCTATGCAGAACATATTCTCCAGTAGGACACTATGAAAAACAGCACTGGAAGCTTTGCTGAAGTCCAAAAAGATTCTTAACTGGCTTTTTCTCAACAACAACAAAAAAATCACACATAGCATTTCACTGTTCTGACAAAAAAATCTAAGAAATATGTGTATATCAAATACACATGTGTATATATGTTTACGTGTATATTATATACAGTTTTAAATATGTTATATTTCTGGGAACAGTGAACAGAAAAAATAAATCTCATTATGTTGGAATGGTATCATCAGTCAAGACACTTTGCCAAGCTACATCAGGCAAAATTTATACAAGAAAGAAATCAGTCCTTTTTTATAATAGTGATAGAATACCATTACAACCAACTGCTTAGCAGAGCAAGAAGCTTCAGATATTTTTGTTGTTGTTGTATAAAATCATAACACATTTCTACTGTAATAAAGGCTGGATGTGGAAGATTAAGTGGTCATAGTTCCAAGGACAATATTATAGCACAGGCAGCTACATGGGAATGCTTATACTTTAAAGTATTTAAAATAATTAGGGCTCATAATTAGACAAATGGATACTCTGACATGTTACTACTGAGATGACAATCAGAAATTCCAATCAGAAATAAAGTTCTATGGTAATGATCACAAACAGCTTAAAAAAAGCTATTCATGCCACAGACATGATCTAAGAGTCTTCAACTGAACTTCCTTTACTACTCATCCATTCTTTCCTTCTCATTCCTTCCTCTTCTGCTCCTTCCAAGTCTTATTCATTCCTGATGTATTGGAGTACACTGTGTCTTCTTAGATTGGGACAAGGGCCATTTAAAATCTTTCCTGCCTTGATTTTGATGCTCTATTTCTTGTGTGATGTTAGCAAAAAAAATGGAGTAAAAATACAAATTCCTCACATAGAATAAGACACACATTAAAATTCACTGTCATTTCTAGGTGTCTTAAGGTCCTATTCTAAAGTGAGAAAAATGCTGAGAAGAACTGCTTTCCCACAGGTTTCAGGTTACAAAGTGGCTTTTTTTTTTTTTTTTTTTTTAGTAGAATTGATTCAAGAAAAGATCTGTTATCTTAAAACTGTATAAAACTAGAGACAGATTTAGGAACATTCCATGATTAACTACCTATTTTACAATATCAAATTAATCTATAAAACCTGGTACAGGTGACAGAAGATTCAGGGTATAAACAAAAGCATTTGTATGTAAAATTAATGACAACAAAACAAACAGAAAAACAACTGGAAGTTCACATTGTGCTTTAAAAGAATTTTCTTTACATAAAAGTTTACTAAAACGGCACTTCATTCATAATTTCTTATGGAACAAAACCAGATTGTTCAATAGTGTAGCAAATTGACATTTTACTGTTGTTCAAAGAAAAATAATGTACATAATGGGAAAAAATGTCTACACAAGCAGTTTCTTAAGCTAAGAAGAACAGATGAATATTATATTATATAGGCATGAAATTAGACAGCAAGGAGGCAGGCAGGTGTTACTACTTTCAAATACAGCTATAATAATTAAGCCATTATTAACTAACAATTGACGGAGTCTCTATCCTTGAAGATACTCAAAAGTCAGCTGGACATGGTCCTGGGCATGGTCTAAGTGATCCTCCTTGAGCAGAAGGGCTGCATAAGAGACTTGTAGATGTCCCTGCCAATCTTAACCATTCCACGATTCTGTGAACCACATTATCTATATTAAAAATATATATATAGTAAGAATTCCTTTGTACTATTGGTATGAGCATTAGTACAAAGAGGGAGCCTAGTAGCCTTCCACTTCGTGCTTTGACTTTCCAAAGGTTGCAACAATTTTTGGAGATAAAACCATGTGTGCACAGACGAGATCTGTGCAACCACAAGCATATTAACTTTCTTTATATTCAGTGATTTGTAATTTATTTTGAATGAAAGTTTAAAGGCGAGCATCTATATGAAAAATGGAATACAATTAATCATGAATTTATCACTGGTATATCATTCCAGCTTACTTTAATAATCTTCCATTTTTTTCAGACAAAACAAGTGTAACAGCTCTAACCTATCTGGGCTTCTGTAAAGAGGGAGTACAATTGCTTATCTTGAACAGAGCTTGAGAGATGCTACCTGTAAAGACCTTCCAGGATCAGGCAAGAACTGACCTGATTCACATTTCTTCTCAGTCTACTTAATGATGATTACACAACAGTTCCAGCTGTTCAGTGTTACCCATATTACTGAAATTAGCAGCCAGCACTGGTAACTGAATCAATCCCAGTGCTACAAGAGTCTGTCTAAAGAAGGAACTGTAAACTTCAAAGACAAAAATAATTGAAATGCAATTTAGCAGTACGAAGTGCAAGAGAACACACTTCCAAAAACAAACAAACAAACAAACCAAGAATCACTATTTAACAGGTACATCACCAGCTGAAGCAAAAAAAGGAAGATAAAGATATGGATATGACCATGTAATAGTACATTAGATGGCTTTAAGTAATGAATATGTTATGGCTGTGGAACAGAAAAAGGTTTTTAGAGTATGCTGATACACAGTAGGTAATAGTTATTTTCAGTAGAAGCAGGAAATTAAAGAACAAGGCACATCTGAAATCTCCTTTGGGGTAATATATACAAACGTACAGATATATAGACTTCAAACTGAAATAGGAAATCAGAATGTGATCAGGATTAATTTATTTCTGATGAATAAAAGCAAGAAAAGAAGGGTTCACTGCAGATAATAAAAGCAAATAGGTATAAACTAGCATGGAATGGAATTAGAGTACTTCCTGTAATTCAAAGAGTAAAATTCAGGAATAAGTTTCTGGTAAGAAGTGCAAAAGCCCCAAATAAACTAATTCTAATTCATTCTAATTCAAATAAACACAATTTAATTCATTTATGAAAGTAATTATTTATACAGCTGCATTTGACAGCAGTGATGTAGACAGGACATAGCTAGTAAGTACTTATAAGTGCACAGAGATTACTTGTAAGTACTCCAAAGGCTTCTTCAAGATAAAAAGAGGTGTGGCCTAAGAGTCCAGAAGAGCATGGATCTGAAAAAGCGTAAAAGCATTTTTGCATTGTGATTTGCATATGTTACAGCCCCATTCAATTCTATCACAGATCAGTCTGTCTTTTTAAAGCTGCATGTAGTAACATACTTCATATTTAATATTTGAAGCAGTGGCATGTCTTGGTTTATGCTGTAGTATGTATCACTGTATTTGACAAAAGACACTCTTTCTTGAATTGAGTGAATAACAATTTTCACATCTTAAGGCACGTTGTTAAGAAAGGTGATGCTTTACACCACCGTGGTTCACAAAAAAAAAAAACTAGCAGTTTACTTTGGCTTTTGATATTGTAAATTCATCAATTCTTCTCTTCAGCTATTCACCTATTCAAGAACCAATGGAAATGCAGTCTTTCTCTTTAAGAAAATCATCTGATAGCAAACACTTTTCTAATATTTTATATTTAGCTGCTTTCTTGTATAATACTATTTTTCTGTTATGATTAATAACAACTGGTCATAATTATCTGACAAGATAACAGAACTGACAACCCAGAAAAAAAGAAAAAAATTATGAATGACAAAAACCGGTTCAGTAATTCAAATGAACCAAATTTTGAATTTTTTGTTAATACTTCATGTGGTGAGCAGCAGTAGGAAATGTACCAACATTCACTGGTCAGAGCTCTTGTCTTATTGATCTGATATAACAAAATTTCCTTACTTCTGACCAGTCCAAAGCGACCCACTGTGGGGGACAGGACTGATTGTTACAGGGCTCTTTCTCAATAGGCCGGTGTGTTAAACAGTTGGTATTGTCCAGTGTCTCTTCCTCAGAAGGTCCAATCTTTCTGATACAGAGAACTGTTCGTGAACGCACTCCTCCATCACAGGTCTTACTGCATTCTGACCAATCTCCTATAAACCATCTGAATAGAAAAAGGAAAGTCTATTACTGCATGTCAGAAATTGAGTAGATTATTGCACAAACCCAGAATACAAATACTTTTGTTTACTATCACTGTTAACACTACACCTAGTCAGAGTGAAATTAAGTAAAAACTTTAGATGTTACCTAGTTCAATGTGATCAAACGTAGTCTTTGCTGCTGTTAGGAGCCTCAAATATAATACAATATAATCTATATTATAATCTATAATATATATAATCAAATATAATCTAACTGGCATTCACTCAGGAGGAAGTACATAAGCTTTTTCATTACTGTAGTTCTTGGTAATCACTGGAAGGAAACTGGAATTGTTTTAAATAAGAAAAGTATTTAACTACTTTGTTTAAAAAGTAAGCCTTACTGACTGCTAAATTTTTCAGCCTTTTTTTTTTTTTTTTTTTTTTTAAGTCAGTGGTGGGGAGGGGAGGGAAATGTTAGAATATCTTTTAGAGCTGTTTTTTAGAGGTGACAATTTGTTAACTGCTAAGGATAAGGGATGGGATAGAGATGCATTTTGTAAAAACGAATTGATCTAATGTTATTGCTTCTGGAGAAGAATCTAACAGCTTTACTTCTGAATAGATATATGAGATAGGAGGAGTAAATCTAGAAGACTGCCATCCTGCAAGCCAAGCACAAGCTGGTAGTTTAGGAAGAAACTGACTTCATGAATACCTGTTGGATTTTAATGCATTATAGTCTTGTTTCCTTATTCCTTTTTGTGTCTTTTTTTGTCTTTTATGTCTTCCTTGTGTCTTTTTCTTGTCTACTACAAGTAAATGGTTTGGTATACTAAACTGTTCTCTGTTTACTGGTAAACTGTTTCTCTGTTTACTGTTTCCCTTTTGAAGAAGACAAAACAAATTTTAATATAACACACCTAGAAATCCGGCAAACATTTAGTACATCCTCCTCAGTGTGGGAAAGTTAACCTCTCACCTCAAAATTCTTCTGTCATGAGTGCCATAAGACTGGTCTCCAATTCTGTTCCCAGCACTGTTCACCACACCTAACATCTTAATAAAGTACTTCACTACCATCTTTTACTTTTCACTTGCAGTGTTGTCAGTTTCAATTGTTTAACACTTGTTCAAACCTATGTTTCTCAAAGATCTCTTCTAGGTGAAAAAAAATGATTCCAGAGGAACAAGTAGCCTTAACCAACATCTAAAATAAAATATCCTGTCTAATAAGACTGAGTCCTCGAGTTAGACCAGAATTTTATACTACATTTGATCAACCGGATTTATTATATATTACAAAGGATTTTCTATAAATGCAAGACAGACACATCTTAGTGATCATAAACTTACTCAGGTGGGCAAGGCTCAGTGTTGCAGGCTCTTTGGTTTTCTGGAGGCTTACTGTCAGGATCACAGTAGTTGTTTTGTACAACAGAGTTGTCATCCAACCTTTTACACACCATCTCTTGTTTCTGCACACCTTAGGATGAAATTAAACACCATTAATTAATCATTCTTACTGTTCTGTTTGTTGAGTAGAAGTATGTTTCACCTATTAATTATTATTCCCACTATCCCACTTGAGCGGGCTGAATGCTTCAGGGATGTGAATTCCAACTGACTCAGCGTCCCCTGACCACAAAGAATTTTTCATTTTCTTTTAATTTTAGGCCACCTCATTGAGAGAGGATTTTAAATTGCTGTTGTTTTCTAAAACAAAGAGAATATATTTATAGATTTACTGACAGATTGTTTTTATTTGTGTACTGCAAAAAATCAATTTTCCATCTACCCTTCCCTCTTAGTAAAAGACACTCTGATTTCCAAAGAAAATATCACCAAATAGAACATAGACACTGTTCAATGCAGAACTGTTGACTACGGACTCTGGTTTAAAATAAAACAACAATCTGGGATATAGTGTTACATTTTCACACATGTCATCCTAGAAACATTTTCTTCATTAAAATAATGAAGAATTATTCATTCTGAAAGAAGCAGTTTGTCTTGTGAATGCTCTTTTGATCTGGCACTCCCAGCTCCTCTCTCATCATGTTAACTATCAACAGGCACTTCGGATTTAATTGTTATTTCCAAGCCATAGTGACCTATACCTGCCAAGGCAGCAGTCATTACAAGATAACACTTCAAGCAGATTTTCCTATTTTTAGAAAACAGAATATAAGGAAAGACATTAAAGAACCACTGACAGCAGAGCAGCTCCAAATATTGCTGTAAACAGGTACGCAGGGCCTTCTCTTTGTTTCTAGAACAAATTGTGGACAACTGTGGATCTTCAATTCATATGGAGTTCTCGACATAGGTAGTTACAGTACTGAGATAATGGGATTGTAGCATGACAAACTGATAAAAAAAGCCTTAAATCTTAAAACAGAAGCAAATACTCAACTTTTTCCAAAATCTGAACTACATGCAAACAAACAGGGATTAAAAAACCCTGGCTTAAAATATCTTTCAACTTACGTTACAGCCCTCTCTCTTCATTTTAAGACAAACGTTTCATAGGAGGCAGATATGCAGCAAAAAAATTCATTATATGAACATATTTTTCAGACAGTAAACAGCCAAATAAAAACATGGAATTTAGTTCTTTTTCTTATTTTAAACTAGTTAAACAACTTACCTTTCAATTGCTTATTTTCTTACCCATTATGAACAAGAACCAAGTCTCTGGTTCCTAAAATTATACCTATAAGGAGCATTGTACTTACTTCCAACAGTGAGTCAAGCATAGCCTTAAGATGCTTGAAGTTTAGCCCATAAAGCATCCTGCTTAGCTATGAACAGAAATCTTCCAGTCTAAGCACACAGGCATTGTCTCTATGATGTAAGGACACATGGGATGTGAGACATATGTCTCTCTGACGTCATGCACAACATGGAAACCTCATTTTCCAAAACAGTCTTGAGAATGTTATTCATTTCCTCAAGAAGCTACAGATCCGGCAGTATTAAATTTGAGCATACAGTATTTCCCTGAGGTGGTTAATTTAGCCACTCAGCGGCAAGACTGCAGTTTCTAAACTGTAGGTTATGTCTAGTTTCTATTCAATTACAGCCTAATGTAAAATATATAAACCATCTTCCAAGTATGACCTGCCTGTGCTATGTGAATGTCTTATTTGCTGATTACCGATTACGTCTCTTTCTTTTCTTACTGACATTGGTCCCATCAGTCTTGCATCCTTGACAGCACTGTGGCCATGAATGTCCATTAAAAAATATTCCCTTTCCCTGTCATTCTAGACACTCCAACTATTTTGTTGCATATTTTTCTGGAGATGTATTCCTAGCTAAAATAACTTCATTCCAAAATAGAGAACTGATATTTAATATAGAATTGCCATTGCATCCTGAAAAATAAAGGTATAAATCCATATGTAACTACGGAGCCTTTTTAATTCAAATACTCCCAAGAGAATGCAGGCTGGATCCTAAAACATGTAAAAGCAGTCATGAACACAAATGTGTATATTCCAAGCTATCAGGAGATGGGTTAGATTTAATCACTCAGTATGACACTTCCTATAAGCAGCCTGCTTAGCAGGTGAGAAATATGTGTATCAGCTCTCAAAACCACGTACCATCTTACTTCACCTCAAAATCACTAATCATTACAGCACCAAAAGAGACCTAACGCTGGAGTCTTGGCTCTACCACAATCCCTAAATCCCTACTGCAGGGAAAAGATACCTCCTTTAGTTTACAGCTACACATAACCTTCACGAAGTAGGCACTCCAAATCAACCTACGAATGTCTGACATCTCAAGTTATCCATAAGCATCACGATCATTTAAATAAAGGTTTACTTATTAAAATATATTGATTTGAAATGTGCATCTTACAGATAAACCAGATACAACAAATCAGCTTCTCTCAATTTTCCTTCTTTCTACACATACCTGGATGCCACACCACTATACAATTGCAGGCACAGTGAAACAGTGCATAAAATTGTCACTGTTTTCCAATTACTTCTTACCTACACAAATTTACATGAGTAAGCTAAAACAAAAATACCATTTTCTGAAAGATGTCTACCTCTATTTTTCCACTACTTCTCAATTTATGTGTTGTACTAAAAAGTTAGTCCATTTGAAGTTAGAGAATCATTAGCATAGGCCCTCCCCATAACTACTGATATTCACATATTCATTGATAAAGATCAAAGATATTAGAGATCTGCTCAGCATTCTCAGCTGCTGACATTTTCATTAGTAGAAAGGCTTAAATTCAGTGAGATATTACACATTAAATAAACTTGGAACAAAGGAACATACAAGTAGAAGCAACACTAATCTTTATTTCTGGGAACCACTTGTTCATAAACTGATCAATCTCCACCTTAAAACTCCGATACAGTTTCCTCTCTGAAATCCATACCTGTGACTACTACATTCATTAATTGCCAATTAACACTATTCTTGAAATGAAAAACAGTATTTTAGTTTAAATAACTATTCTGTTAATAAACTCTTGTAGTCCCTGAAGTGTTGGATACAGCATTCATTTGGCCAAGCTGTCAGTCCTTCTGTGCATCCATTCACACTTGAGTTCATTATGCCCACAGTACAAATTATGCCCAGTATTCCATAGGAATTTTACTACTGCCTTCTCCAGTGATCATGAATACAACGTGATATTATTTCCATATTGACATATCCATATGTTTCCTAGCACTCCTATCAAGCAAATTTCATTAGAGCTTTCAACATTTTTATGCTACCATCAGAACAAGAGAAACTGAAGTCAGAAGTCATTACAGGTTCTTTAAAACGTGTAGAAAGCTTAATGACTTTTCATCTTGTAGTTCACATTTTAAGAGCACTTCCCATCTACTGATCTTTCCTAATTTTTTATTATTTGTAAGTAACAAGAAAAACCTTCCAAATTCTAGATGAATGAATCTACAACACTTAGTCAAAAAAACAAACAAACAAACAACAAAAAACAAACAAACAAAAAAAACAGCTATCAGCCTCAATAAACTTATTTCTGAGGACTGTGGAACAAGAAGGTATTCTGAAGCACCACGAAGACAAAGTATCATTACGCTTAGCTTAAAAAAAGAAAAGAAAAATGCCACCAGCCAAGTTGTTTATTGAACCAGTGGTCAGATAACATATCACTCATAAGCATTTATCACTATTTACTCACGTGGTGAAGAACCATTAATCAATGCCAGGCAAATACGTTAATTCAGTTTTTAAATGTTCTGCATCATCTTTCCATATCGTATGTGATACAAGAAACATACGTGTGGATTAAGGAAACATCACATCACTATTGTCTAATTAATATTATTTAAAATAATATTTCGGAAACACAATTCAGATTCTAAATGCAAAACAACAAAAAGAAATGGGAGAGCTGGAAATGCAATTTTAGCCAGACAACAGCTACAAAGTAGCTAAGCCCTGTAGGCCTTGAGAAAATATTTTTAAATTACTTGCTGTAGGAATATGTGGTCTCTCTTCAAATAATCTAAAAAGCATACCTAAACAAGTTCATTTAAACTCCTGGAGGAATAATTACAAGGAGTTAGACAGAAAAACTCTCCTTTCAAATACATAGATTTATGATTTATAATAAAAGATATAAAATGTCATCATGACCGGTCAATGCAATTCTGATAGAAAATAAAATTTCAGTGGTTTATTGACCATACTCTCCAGAGAATTGAGACGTTCTGCAGATTTCAATTCATAAGTAGTCTGCACAAATTTCAGCAGCCAAATTTTAAACTACGTAGAATACACTTTAATACACTGTTAAATTAAAACTACAGGCCTGTAAATGTTCTATCTACTTTTACAAGGAATCTTCCACAACTGTGATTTGCAATTGTAAATTTTAATTATAAAGGTACATATTGAATCCTGCATCACAAAAACTACTGCATGCTGGTTAACCCAGACATACTTTTTGAGCCCATTCATCAGGTCACAAGATGTTCATCACAGAGCCAAACTCACATTCCCCCTGATGAGGACAAGTATGTTTTATTTGTCCAAAGGTTGTTTCACAATTCATCTGAGGGCATGAAAGAAAAATGCAGTAGGCATCGTACTACAAGAGTCACCATCAGAAAAGGATCCAGACAGCAACCAGCTTACTTACAATAATAGATTGAGAGAAGTTTTGTTTGCGTGCTTGTTTGTTTTCTTAAATGAGTACATGAGCTATTTTATTCATCCAGAGATGAACTCTAACAAAATAAACAAAATCAAAATCAATACTTTGGGTACTTTGTAAATTCCAGATAATAAATGCTGCCATTTATGGCTAGATTTTTATTAAGCATGGAATGCAATGGATTGCACAGGACTGAAAAGGAATGGAATAAAATAAAATGAATGCACACACTTACTGTGGTCTATTCTTAATGTAAACAAAAGAGAAAATATGTAGGGGTTTTTCATCATCTGTTGGATATTTTTAAACAATACCATCAGCTG